GCACTGACCTCTCCCGCCTCCACATCATGAGTAGACACGCCCCTTACTGCTGATTGGCTACAAGTTTGCTTTGCTATTCTGCCCGAATCAGTTTTCTAAAGCGTTTTTGGAAAATCGCTTACCCCACCTTTAAAGAAATTTTGTAAAAATTTACTAGGAATACCAGAAATGGTCATAACACACAGAGCTGTTGGTTAAAACCCCAAACAAAATTCTCAAAAAAACAACAACAACAAAATGAGTTCTCACCTCAAAGGCATAGTTTTCCACCAATGGTATGTCTTGCTCATCAATCAAAGTGTACTTTGTCTGAAGGAACAAAATGGTGTTATAATGGAGAGTAAATCAACTGAGTCAACAATCCAGAGCTATTTCCTCACCAAAGACTTAAAGGTGCAGTAGGAGATCTTGGAATATGCTAACTTTAGCCTGATAGCACTGAAAGCGAACGTCCCACCCTCCCTGCAATCGCCGTCCAAAACCACGCCTCTGAACGCATATATGCTCACAGACAAGAATACCAGAGACAACATTACTACAATAGGCTACATCAGCGGTTCCCAATTCCAGTCCTCGCACTGGATGTGAAGATGTGTGTGTGTAAGTGTGATGTGTGTGAAGACGCTGCGCAGAGCAAATCCGTGAATGAATGTTCTGAAGTGAAGTAAACTTCAACAGATTTCCCCTGCTCAGGTCATTTAGACCACATAACTTAATGATTGCTATCGTGATGTGAAGAGACTTTCAACCAGCATAACAAAAAATGTTTCTTTAGACAATCACCTATTGCACCTTTAAGTTATACATAATGCATTCCTTAGGGTTCCCACACTTTTTGAGCAATTTTCTATTAGTTCGATTAGTTTCAATTTTTAAAAGTTTGTTTTGATATATATAATGAAATCAAAACATTTTTATAAACTTTTAATATAACATGTATTTATCGATGCTCTTTACGAATGTCAACAAAATGGCTGAACTATGTTGGTAACTTGCGACCATAGATATAACGATGCTTATGGAAAACGCACCCCAGGCAGGTTTAGCAAACCAGTTCAGCCGATTATAATTGAAGAACAATCAGTTTACGAATCAGACATTGCTACTATCTGAGAAACAATGACTACTCTCGTATTATTACTCAAACCGCGCTTTCTGGTAATTAGGACAGTTAATTCGTGGTATTTTAAAATAGCTTTTTCATCACTATATAAAAAGTAGATCGGTAGCTGTCTGTAAAGTAATAAGGGTAAATATTTCAAATGTTATGCGTGTCATTACAGATTCCAGAATTTAATGAGCATAAAAAGCAGATGAAGAGTACCTAAGCAAACGTTCGCGATTATCACAGGAGAAACCAGACATAACCTATGACCGTCGATTAGCATGAGCTCTATTCCGTTTTATGACAACATAAACTGGGCATCATTAAGACTGTATAGCACGGATCGCGTTTGTGCCTTTAATCCGACTTCTCACGTGCTCCTATTGTTTAACCCCTATAGATATCCGTTTACAGGTGTAGTGCCGAAATTTGCACCCTGCCAGATTATGCACCCCCTAGTATTGGTAGGTTTAGGAATAGGTGTAGGGTTGGGATTAGGCAATCAGTTAGCGACTTCAACGAGGGGGTGCATAATCTGGCAGGGGTGCAGAATTCGGCACAACACCGGCTGCCCTCTAGTGTCATGGCATGAGCGGCCTGGCATCCCAGAACCAGCTTGGATTTGTTCAGGATGACGCAAAGAACCGATCAACATAGTAAAGTTGAATAAACTGACAACATTTTGCAGAAGGTTTCGCGATGCATTACCGATGAAGTGACTGTGCACATGTTTGACAGATAAACCGTGTAAGGACAGAGCTAAGGCTCATCACAGTCAACATGCCGGTTGTCATGCTGCGAACGGTTCCTGGTTGAGGCATTTTCAGAGCTATCTGAGCCATATTGGATGACAGTGTCATTACTGACGTGGAAAAAAACAACAACAACAGTCTTGTGCTTAAAACCGTCTTAAACTGTAAACGGAAAAATAAAACTTTAACATTCCCTAGCTAACAAGCGAACTCTCGCCCCAGTTGTCTAGTAGCGCTGTAGCCACGCTAGCGGCACTACCACAGCAAAAGTAGGCGGCTCAAAGGGACTAAACCTACTCGGCTGATGAGCTGACCAGTTTATTTATAAAAAATTAAACGTTTCGACGACAACTCTATGCCTATATTACATATATTCCTCTCTGACCAAGGTCGATAACATCAAAATTGACAAATCTGGCACTTAATTGTTAAACACAAGCATTTAGCTCACGGATCTCGGATCCCCACCCCTTCGCGTCGCACATGGCAGCCCTAGGATTCAGCTCACCTTCCCGGCCACACGGCCAAGTCGAACAATCCCAAGCTTGAAATCCGACATTAGAGGGGATGTCAGGTCTGGGATGAAATGTCAGAGGAAGTACGACGTTATTAGGTTGGAAATCGGACCGGGCAAACCAACCCTGAGTAAAATTTTTAGTGTAATAGGGTCAATCGTTGCCCGCGTCTTCCCCACCCGCTTCCAAACCTCCGTGATGCACCGCTGAGAGGCGTCGGAAAAATCTGCCAGCTTCTGGGGGAGGGACTAACAGAACTCAGAACTAAACCAATCGCGAAAAAGGACTGACAGCGATTTGTCCAATCGGAGCTGTGCATCGTCAATACATTTGCGTTGGGTGTTTAATGCTGACGTATAATGGATAAACGTGAACGCGTTTGGCCGATCTGTCCAATCACAATTCGAGATTTTACGACAAAGCCCGCCCCTTGTATAACAGCGCCTTTTCGTTACGTAACTAAAACGCGACATTTTAGTAGTGATGGGAAACTGAGGCTTTCTGAAGCGTTTGAGGCTTTCATGAAATTGTGCCGGAAAACGGTTCATTACTCGTTTCTTTAGGTACATCCGTGCGTGCCGCGAGATGTTGCAAAAAGTGGCGGGGGGTCGTGGGGGCACACGTCCCACCCGTAAATAAAAATATAACACAGAATGAATAGTCTTGTTTTATTTGTTATATGTCATTTCCACGACTTTCCAAAAGAGGAGAAAAAATATTGAGATTGACATGTCAAATTTGCCGCCACTTCCTCAGCCGTTGTATAGAACACCTAGCAGCGCTAATTCTTTTTTTTTTTTTGTCATTTATGTGGGGTCTCCTTGAGAGTGTAGGCAACTCGTGTCATGTATAGCTTGGTCAACGGATTCACATATCGATCAATAATATAAAATACACAAACACAGTGGCGTAACTACAGACAGTGCAGGCAGTGCAGCCGCACTGGGGCCCGTGCCGCGGGGGGGCCCCGCAGCGCACGCGGGCCCTGCCCACATTGAAAGCGACTATAGTAATATAAATTAATAATGAACGTATTAATAATAAAATACAATTAGTACCGAGATTCTTCACAGAACTGAATAAATATATAAATTCGCGTAATTAGTGCGTGTGAGTTTTAGTGGTTTAGTGGTAGAACTTTTGTGAAGCATTTCCGAGGTTATGGGTTCTAATCCACCTTCGTGTAGTTTTTTTTCTTCTCTCATTAAAACCAAAGGTGTTCATCAGTGATTGTATATCAAGAGCAAGGACATGTTTGTGTGCATTTTGTTTTGTGCTTTTACCAGAACAAAGCGTACGATTGTCTGTGTGAAGACTGCGCATTGTGCACGAGTGCAAGAGAACTGATAACAGCAGTAACGAGCGCTCGCTATAACACATTCCAGCGATAGATCGCCTGTTGTTTAACACAGACCAACGAATTTGTTATCAAATGGAGTTCTGTTCAAATGTTTCTTTAGGTACATCCGTGCGTGCCGC